TAGAAACTCACGAGATTATATGGGTGAAAAAGATATGAATGAATATGGTAATTGTTTCGTTTGAGAGGCCGAGAACGAACAACCATCGACTGTGTCCATCACTCGAGAAATTATGGTTATGAATCTTGTCTCTCTCGTTTTCTTTCTCCTACGAGTTTAAATGGATGCGATGATGCGTCGGCTGAAGTGGATGCTACGGATACCTCCACGTAAATGCTCTTTCTTTATTTTATTTTTTTCGAAACATATACGAATTTTTTAAAGCTGGTTTTTTGTGAACTGGTATAAAATATAAGAGTATTCTGTGTAATAAAACATGTTTTAAGAAAATGATTCGTTTTTATTATAATATTTTTAAAAATGACGTTACAAAAACTTGTCTGAACGGAAAAAAACACTGTCTGCTTTTATCATATTTTATTAAAAGTATGGAACGATAAATCTAGGTATATTTTATTATATTAATATTAAGTTTTTATTCATATTTTATAAAGTGATTGAAAATACTGATGGGTCAGTTTAACGTACCCAATTAATTTTGATCCATCAAAATAACGTGTTTTAACCTGCTCAAATCTATCCATCAAGTCATGGGGTGTTTGTGATTGTTTATTTAAAACAACTTGTGTTTTTTTTTTTTCTTCTAAAAGTGCTTATTAACTTATGTGGTATCAAATCGGAGTTTTGTAAAAAATGTTTGGATTAGCTTATAGCGGTACCAAAAAGTAATAAGCTGATAAGTTGTTTTTTAGTGTTTGGAAAATTTTGCATATATATGTAAAATGACAGTCTTCCATATTATTGACTTATGAGAGTGTTTGAGATTGCTTATTAACTTATTTGAATTTTTAACATGTAGAAAAATTATTTTTCATCATTTATAATAATATATTTGACAAGATTTTATATCAATAAGATTAATAATTAACAAACATTAATAAAATAGGGTTAAAATGGTAAACTGGTAATAAACGGTTTTTCATGGAATGATTAACTTATCAAAAACTGCTTATTACCGGTTTGGCACCGGTATAAGCAGTTTTATTTTTCCTCATCCAAACACTAGCGTTTAGCTTATCACCGGTGCCAGACTGAAATAAGTCAAAAAACATCTAAAATAAACAATCCCAAACACCCTATCAGTAATTGTTTACGCATCATAAATTCAACATTCTATCATTTGGAACAGAGAAAAGGTCTGCATATATTTTACCATCTACTGACATTATGTGAAATTTACTGGATTCATTTGATTTTGTTCCTAATTTATTCAGATAACTGCATTTTCAATTTTATTTACAGTATAACGTCTTGTCACATCAGCTGCCAATAAATATATGATGTTAACATCTCACGACCAATCTAATCAACAAACTATTTCCGCAAAAAGAAAACATTAAAGGTTTTATTCGATGCAATTTTCCATCCAAAGAGAAACGGGATAAATTTGAACAGGTTCTAGCGGTTTTATTGCCTTTAATCCTTTAAACAAGATATATACGTATTATTTAATTTGTAAACGAATCATTGTCCTTTTGAAAAATTACATTAAACTATTTCTACTTGTTTTTATTATTATACAAAAATAATTTTTTAAGAACGTTGTTTATAAAAAAATATGTATTTTTAGAGAACTAGAAAGGTACTCGTGCAATGCAACGAAATATATGTTGATTTTAATTTATCTCAATCGATATTATAGTATGGTCTTATGCGATTTTGAAAAAACGATGATGTTTTTATTTTTGAATAAAATATAAATTTGACAAAAATATGTCGATATTAGTATCAAATTAACTATTTAAAATTCTTATTTTTTATGTAGTTTTTTAATTCAATTTTTTTGTTATAATTTAATTTAGGTTAAATAACGAAGTAATTATATTTGGTTATAATATAATTTGTTATAAAGATAATAACTAATTATTTTGTTAGAACTCAATAATTATCCTAATTATATTTTAAATGAGATGTTCATCCTCTATTTGATTATGTTTATCCGTAATTAGTTACACGAATTCAAACATAAAGCTTTAATAATTGTAATTATGCATAATTTACATGTAATATTGAATTTTAAGTAATATGCATCAATATACAATATTTCATGCATAAAAAATTATTTTTAAGAATTTTTGTCAAATGTTTTATAATATAATATAAATATACTTTTAAAATATACGTATGTTGAAAAGATTTATTTGACGTTTATTTTAAACAATGTTCCTTAAAATAGACACATTTTTTAAAATAAAAATAGAAAGTTTTTTAAAACCTACGAAATCCATCTTTTTAAATTAAGAAATTATTACTACAATTTGTGTATAAAATTACAATAAATCCCACGTTTTAACGTACATGGGACATGGACAAGAAGTGAGACATCGTGTGACAAAAGATGCTTTATGAGACAAAAAATCTAAAATATTACTAATTTACCCTCTTTTGATATATAACTTTAATATGATATTTGTTTTAGTGGTCTTCATTGCTAGTTGTGGCTGCCGCCACCACTAACAACCATCAGTAGCCATTGTCGGCCACCCCCACCTCTTTCCACTACAACAACCTCATCAACAACCTCCACAACCACATCGACCATCGACTACCATCGTTCGTCGCTACCACCATTGACCGCCTCCACCTTTTTTTCTACTACAACAACCTTCTCCACCACCTCCATCATCAACCACCAACCACCACTGTCCATCCTACTACCACTACCACCGTGGGCCACCTCACCTCTACCATAATCGCCATCACCACCTCCACTACATCAGCCTAACTACATCCTCTATTATTGTCAACACTCAACTGCTATTATCGCTACCATCCACCATCTTCACGTCATTCACAACCACCGTGGTCTATCTTCAACAGCTATGTTATAATTTTTCTAAAATAAAGTATCAAAAGTAAAAATCTCTAAAAAAATTTACATCGCTAAGCCCCTCTATTTTAGCAATCATCCATTGGATGTCGAATTTTGTCAACCGATCCGATCTGATTAACATTGAATAACCAATCCAATCCAATGGATGATATCAGTTCGGTTCCATCAATTGGATACTTTTATTGGATATCAATGGATGATCCGTTAGGATTGGATCTATCCAGTGTGTTAATTCAAGCCAATTCTCCAAGAATAATACAAATTGATTAATCACTTTTAATATGTATTAAAACAAGCATAAATGAAGTTAAAAATTCAAAGCCTATGTACAAATTTCGATTTAAGCAATTTGAAAATAAATTAATTGGATGATAGTTGGATAGAAAACTGGATGGTCATCGTATGATTAATTAGATGTTGATCGGTTCGGTTTTAATGGTTATGGACTGTCATCTGAGAACCCACCGATCCAAATTGGATGTCGAAATTTTCAATCCAATCCGATCCAATTACAATTGAATATCCAATTATGATCGGTCGGTTCTAATCGGATCAATCGTTTTCAATTGGATCGGTTGATTTTCTGCATACCCCCAGTAAATATATGATCAGAGTATTTGTAACATTTGAATAATTTAACAAATTTATAAAATAATTATTAGTTCAAAATAAAAGTAAAGTAATATAATTCATAGGTTATGAAAATTGATTAAAGATAAAATAAAATAAAATAAAATAAAAAATAGTCGTAATCGAATAAATAAATAAAAGAAATTATTTAATTAATAACGAACATTTATAGCTTAAATCCATCATGGTCTTCGGTGCCCATTAAGCAATGGTCTATTTTCCACATCTTTTTGAAAAGGTAAACATATTTGGACCATTTGGAACATAATTGCAAACAGACAAATGGAAATAATTCATCATCCAAGGAGAATAAAAATTCTTTTGTGGTCACGGAGGTCAAATGCAGTGACTCCGACTTCGGACTATCTGTAAAGCAGGTGGTCGTCTTGGGATTAGTCGGCTCGCATAGCAAGTTGAATATTCAGTTTAATAAAAAAAATGATTTTTATAGATTAATATGTGAATAATAATTTAGAGACGATATTTTGGTGATAAAATTATCTAAGAGGTTGTTTGGTTGGTTGACTTGGGATCACGTGAGACCAGTCTGTTTTCGTGAGACAATTTTTTTACACTTAAAACTTCTTACAACGTTTTGCTGTGAAGTTTCAAATGTAAAACAATGGTCTAACGGAAATAAGTTGGTCTCATGCAGGGGCGGACCCATAAATTTTTTCAAACGGTGACATCGTTTGACTATAAGAAGCAAATATACTGAATCTTTTTCAAATGGTGGCATCATTTGACTAAGAAAATGACATTAAAAGAATTTAAACTTGGGTCTGGGTGAAATAAAAGCCTTGCAAACCAACTTTACCAAATAAAACTTGTTATCGTTATAGTTCCAAAATACATACGGTAGCACACAACAAATTAATACGATTGCACCTTTCACGAACCTAAAATCTTTTATCCCCTCGACAGAGGAGTAACACGGTCCGTCCATGATCTCACGTGAACCCAACCCTTGGTTAGTTTTCTATTAAGTTTTATACAGATAAATTGTATTGGTAGATTAATTAAAGTAGCATATTTTTTAACTGGGATAGAACAAATTTAGAAAAATATTGGCTTTCTGTATAGAAACTTATTAAATAAGTGATTGGCTATATCATTAATCACTAGTTAAGTAGTGAGAGGCATTGAATAGGCTCTAAATGTTATTGCATTAATGAACACTGAATCATCACATGAACAAGAAAGTAATGAAATTTGAGGATTAAAGTTCAAGTTTTGAATGTGGGATGTGGAATCAATCGTTAAAAATTCATTTTTGATAATAAAATCACTAAAAGATTCTTGAATCAATGTGATATTGGGACAAGGGTCGAAGAGCAATCGGTGGTCACATGGCGATTATTCATTTGGCGCGTGTGATCTGAATCATCAAGATCGGATTCACCTACCAGACTACCATACAAAGCCAACATCACTTCACTGATGTCGATAAATAGCGAGAAACCCACCAAGGAAATCCCACACAAACTTCATCAATCCCTTTGCATTTGCGAAATTGCAGTGATCAACGTTCTATGCAGCAGAAAGGGAGATCATTCAATAGCAGATCGAGGTCGTTCTCAAGAGCTCGCGTTGCCATCGAGGGTTCATAGTCATCATCTCAAATACCCATCGAACCAAACCTCCGATTTTCTCGCAAATCCTTTGTTTCTTGTTCTAAATACTATTTTCGTCTCGTTTTTAATCCTCATTTCTCGAAAACCTCGTCATTTCTCGTCAAAAATCTCTTGCAATGGCTGCTGTTGTTAATGGTGATTGCTTTTTTTCTGATCTGTTTGTTATTTAATTCTGTTTTCTTGAGTTGGGTTTTTTATTTTTATTTTTATTGAATTGAATGATGATTGCAGGAGAAGAACGTGAGATTCAGAAGAACTACTGGGTTGAGCACTCCGTCGACCTTACTGTTGAGGCTATGATGCTTGATTCTATGGCATCGGATCTTGATAAAGAAGAGAGGCCTGAGGTATAAATACACTCCATGCATTCTTACTTTCTTTCTTAAATCCTTTTGTTGTTGGTTTTTTCTGTCTTGGGTTTTCATTTCTTATGAATTCTGATCTGGGTTTCTCTGATTAGCAATCAGATGTTCTGTTTCCAAGAATCTTGGATTACTGATCTTGATGTTTACTGTTTCTTTTTCTTAATTAATCTTATCAATGTTTTGACCCCTTTTTGTGGCTCTGTTTCTGATTGATCTTCACATTAGTGAGTCTAATTTGTATGCATTATTGGGTTTACTAACTTGAGAATGATCATATCTTTTGGATTCTGACTTCTGAGTTATGACTAAAAAGTTGATAGTGACAGTTTTTTGCATACATTTTTGTTCTAATCTACAGTCTTTCGCACAACAAATGTGTTGTTTTTGCCAATATTGCAAGTATGAAGGAAACCCCAGTTCGATTATGTGGTTTTTAGTTGATGTGTAAGTTATAGAAACTAACCATTGCTCAAGAATCAAAATTTATTAAATCAATGATCATCAAGCATATCTGCATCCTTTGACCAATGAGAGATTCTTTTTGACCTTTTCGGTTGAATAAACCCTGTTTGGAGGATGTAAATCTGTATCAGTTTTATAGTTCTATGATGCAATTCATATTCTGTCCTCATAATCACACCCCTTCTGCATTGGATTGCAATATAACTCCTTGGATTTTATGTTTACTGGTACATTTTGTTATCTCTTGCATTCCGTAATGCATTTAAGGACATGTTTGTGTACATCACACACCCATACCCTACTTTCACGTGGAATATATTGGGTTTTTATCGCCTTGTTATCTCTTGAAGTCTGTAATGCATTTGAGGATGGGTTTGTGTACATCCGACACCCAGATCCTACTTTCAAGTGGGATATACTGTGCTGCGTGCCTCATGTCTACTCGTTATTTAGGTACTGTCGCTACTCCCACCCTATGAAGGGAAGTGCATCCTCGAACTAGGAGCTGGTATTGGTCGTTTTACTGGCGAATTAGCCAAGAAGGCGGGGAAGGTCATAGCCTTGGATTTCATTGAAAGTGTGGTAAAGAAGGTATGCATTCTCACCTGGAAAAGAATGCTTTTTTCTATGGTTGTTTATGTCATCTTTAACTACTTATTCTTGCAGAATGAAAGCATCAATGGACACCATGAAAATGTCAAATTTATGTGTGCTGATGTTACATCACCGGACCTAAACTTCCCAGCTGAATCAATGGATCTGATTTTCTCAAACTGGTTATTGATGTACCTTTCTGATAAAGAGGTGAACATTCAACCTTTTACTTCAAAATCTTCCATAATCAAGCTTCGCATTATAAGTAATTGGCATCCGAAAGAACAACTAATGAGATGAAACCTTTTAATATTAATGCATATCTGTATGAAGTGTTCAAAAGAAGTTGAATGAATCTATGATTCTCGATTCGGATCATGTCACAGTTCCATGATATTAGTACAGTGATCGTATGCATAGATGTATGGAACTACCATCACCTGCTATCATGCTAAAATTCATGGGCGATCAGTTATGACATTTGTATCTACAAATTCATCGTGGATATTCATAAAAATTACTTGACCACAATTATATCTATATACTACCAAGTGGTCTTTGACCCTGTTGAAGTCCCATATCGGCTAGACTTGGACCCTTTCTTCTCATTATATCATGGATCCAACCTTCTTTCCTGAAAGGGTCTTTTGAAGACTAATTCGGGTGTTCCAAGTCTCTTCAGATCTGGTTTAGAAAGTAAAAGAAACCAAGTTGCAGCACTATTCAGCTACGTGATGTTCAACTAGATTCCAGTTTAGAAAGTAAACCAGTTGACTTGGCTAAGTGATGTTCTTTTGATGGTTACAGGTTGAATCTATTGCTGAAAGACTTCTGAAATGGGTGAAGGTTGGAGGACATATTTTTTTCAGAGAGTCATGCTTTCACCAATCTGGAGACCATAAGCGAAAGCACAACCCAACACACTACCGTGAACCTAGATTTTACACCAAGGTACCTAGAAAATGTGAAAACTGCTATGTTGATTTAGTGATATGTGATCATAGATGTTTCCTACTCCAGGAAAAACCTTTTGTTAGAGTCCCAGATCGACTAGACTTGGACTGTTTCTATCCTATATATGTTGAAACCTTCCTTCTCTCCTCAATGACTCTTTTGGAGAGTAATATGGGAGTTTCTCATATTCTCACATGGTATCAAAGCCAATGTCTACCACTCTAGCGACTCGATACTTTGGGATAATTTGTGCCTCTCCAGCCTATGTCGGAGGGAGCATGTTAGAGTTCCACATCTGAGTAATCTAGGGGTTTCACATATTCTCATATGGTACCAAAACCAAGGTCTAACACTATAGGGACTCGATCTTGGGACAATATCTGCCCAGTTGGCCTCTGTTGGTGGGGGCGTGTTAGAGTCCCATATTGGCTAGAGTTGAACTATTTCACATCTATACATGTTGGAACCTCCCTTCTCTCCAAAAGGGTTCTTTTGGAAAGTGATATGGGGGTTTCTCATATTCTTGCATCTTTAATGGTTGTCTTGAAGGTTATTACTTTTGAATCCCATCTAATGAGTATGGTTGGTTTAGTTGTTTAAGGAATGTCACATGTCCGATGCATCCGGTAATTCTTATGAACTCTCTCTTGTTGGATCCAAATGCATTGGAGCTTATGTTCGCAACAAGAAAAATCAAAATCAGGTACTTGGGTTTACCATGAAATATTCTAGTTTTTCTTTTTTGGTCTGGTGAATTACTAACCATGGAATGCACTCATTTTTGCAGATCTGCTGGATATGGCAGAAGGTGAATTCAGAGGACGATAAGGGCTTCCAGCGATTCTTGGATAATGTCCAGTACAAAAGTAGTGGCATACTGCGCTATGAACGCATATTTGGACAAGGGTTTGTGAGCACAGGAGGAATAGGTATGTGAATTGTGATGTGGTATGTTATGTTATGTGGCACCTTTGGTCCAACTAGAGTCCACAGGGTCCATGCAAAACACTCATTCCGGATGGTCCTCACAAACATGAGGTCCTCCGGCTAGCACCTGAGCTTTGATGCTTCATGAGCACCAAGTCAAAGGGACTTTGAGACCAAAACCGACCCCGTGGGGTTCTTTAGTTTGCTTATCTCTGTTAGAATATGTGAATTGTGAAACCCCTTTAAATCTCCTTTTCAAAGAGTCCTTATAGGAAAAGGGGAGGTTCCTACATCTGTACAGGTTTGATGGTCTGTGTCTAGCTAATGTTGGATTCTAACACGCCCCCTAGACAGAGGCTAGATGGTGCCCTCAAGAACGTAGGCGAGTGTGAGTTGAGTTCCTAGGTGGTGCTAGACCCCCGCTCTGGTGCCTGTTATAATATGTGGAACCTCTATAAATCTCTCTTTGAAATAGTCTTGAGAGAGAGAGAGAGAGAGGAAACGTGGTGTCTTCATACAGTCTGATGGTCTGAGTCTAACTGATGTGAGATTCCAAGAATCTGAGCAAAGATAATGATCAATAACAAGAAATGTTTATCTTTGTTAGTTTGTGTCGTTTCGTGTTTTGTCTATGATCCTTAATAATCACCGACACCTTCTTATAACATCTTTTTTGTATTGTGACCAGATACCACAAAAGAATTTGTTGCACAGCTGGATCTCAAGCCCGGCCAGAAAGTGTTAGATGTTGGATGTGGCATCGGGGGAGGCGACTTCTACATGGCCGAGAACTTTGACGTTGAGGTTGTTGGCATCGATCTTTCTGTGAATATGATCTCTTTTGCTCTTGAGCGGGCAATTGGGCTCCAATGTTCAGTTGAATTCGAGGTTGCTGATTGTACCAAGAAATCATATCCAGATAATACATTCGATGTGATCTATAGCCGTGACACGATCCTCCATATTCAAGTAAGATTCCGCTCTATATATAATGTTCGAAGGATTTTTTCCTCACAGCGAACGTATAAGCACATATACAACATTTCAATGCTCTACAAATGATCTCCCAATTCCATTTACCCGTTGTTTATATACCTGCTTTTCTCTCTTTCACAATTGGAAACAGTCGTTGTACCCTTTGAGGTAGAGTTCAGTTTTGCGTACATCTTACCCTCCACAGACCCCACCTCTGGGTGAGATATACTGGGGTCATTTGGTTTGGTTTGGAAGGCATAAATAAACAAATATTGTCATTGGCATATATCTAGAATGCATAATAGTTTGTCCTCATGGATTTAGCTTAGCCGGTTAGGAGGTGGGCATCCTTGTACAATGAGCCGGAGGCCTGGGGTTCGACCCCTGACACCACCCACCTGCCCTTGTGACACGCAATTTACCTCCCCCATGATGACCTTGAGACTGGTTTCGCGGGGGTGTCTTAGAGGATGGCATCATACCCTTTTCGCATAATGCTGAGTAGTTCAAATTGCACTTATGCCATGTTTTTCTTAATTATTTTCGCTTATGTTTTTTAGGATAAACCTGCATTGTTTCGAACCTTCTACAAGTGGTTGAAACCGGGTGGCAAAGTTCTCATCAGTGATTACTGCCGAAAATCTGGAACGCCATCTCAAGAGTTTGCAGAATACATCAAGCAAAGAGGATATGATCTCCATGATGTAGAAACTTATGGGCAGGTAATTATTAACCCGTAAAAATATCAAGATCAAGATAACATTCTTGGTTTATATTAGTAATGTGTGTGTTGATACATTATTTCATGCTCTTTAGATGCTTAAAGATGCTGGCTTTGGAGAAGTGACAGCAGAGGATCGAACAGATCTGGTACTTGCATTCTATCACTTCGTATTTCGTTTTAGGCTATGTCGGACAAACTAGCCGATAAGTTAGCTATTGGCTGATAAGCTAGTTGATAGACCTAGGTCGCCAATTCGAGTCTCCTGAGGGCCACTGGGGATTTTCCTGGTTGTTATGTTCAGGGGCTCATGGGATTATTTGAGGTGCGTGTAAGCTGGCACTGATTCCCCCTACGACCCAAAAAGGGTCGGGTTCTAGTAAAGAAACAAAGGACTTCCCTCCCTAACCCTTCTCGAAACCAAGAAGTCTTGGTGCAGTCAGACAGGTCGTTGATACCCGTTCTAATTTCTTTTGTTGCCTTGTTTCAGTTCCAGGAGGTCCTTAAGAGGGAACTAGAAAGAGTGGAGAAGGAAAAGGAAGAATTCATCCAAGATTTTTCTGAAGTGAGTGCATTTACTTACACATTCATGCAGTCATTCATATATGAATGGACAGTATTCATACAATCATTCATATGTGAATGGACAGTATTCATACAATCATTCACATGTGAATGGACAGTATTCATACAATCATTCANATCATTCACATGTGAATGGACAGTATTCATACAATCATTCACATGTGAATGGACAGTATTCATACAATCATTCATATGTGAATGGACAGTATTCACACAATCATTCATATACTAACGGACAGTAGAATGCAAGTATCGATTAACGTTTTCTGGTGAACTTGATATCTGCAGGAAGACTACAACGATATCGTTGGTGGTTGGAAGGCGAAGCTGGTGAGAACGGCTTCCGGAGAGCAGAGATGGGGGTTGTTCATCGCGAAAAAGAAGTGATTGCAGTGTGGAATATCCATATTTCTAGTGGTTTTTGAGTTACGAACCCAATCTTTAAATAAAAAAGGACTGGTGCTAAGGCTCAGATATCTTGTGGGGTTGTAATCTAAGTACTTTGTGTGACTGTATTGTAGAATTACTGTTATTGGATGTTGATGCTTAATGGATTCAGGTGTGGTTTCTAAGATGTTAAACATGTGCTTGTAATTGGTGCTAAATTCTTGTGGTGTACACGGGTTGGGTCGGGATGGCGGGTTTGAAGACGTTTTGAACGTCCAACTTAGTGACCGAGGTTTATAAAATCTCAACGTGTTCAAAGCGTTTTAACGGTGTAACCCATCCCAAATCATGTGGGTTAGATTGGGTTAGTGTTATTGGGTGTGCATTGAAAGGATCGGGAATCTTATCCAACACGTGGCTGTATATGGAGACAATAGATAGCGTCCCTTATCCCTTAGGGATGCTCATGGGTTGGTTTGATCGGATTGAAGACATATAAACAACCCAATCCAGTGTTTGCGGTTTGAAAAATCTAATCCCAATCCAACCTGAACCAAAGTGCAACCCGACCCAACTCGTACGGATTGATACTTTGGTACATTAAAATATTCTTCTAATTTAGAATATGTTATTTCTCTACTCATAATTTCTTTTTCATCATCAACCATTTGATACAACTTATCCATACTTCTTGCGTATATCACATTCAGTTAATTTTCTCAATTTACATATATATGCTCACAGAATCACAGTTACTGAATATATATACGAATGAGTTATATAAATATATGAATAGATTGAAAATATGTGTATATGAAGAGCATACATGATAGTGTAATTGTCTAATATACATATTAATATAAATTCAACAATCATATTAAATCCAAGAAATAAAAGGATATCGAATTCATCAGGTTGGGTTGAGTTCAAATAATAGTAACTCAATATCAACTCAATACTTACGGTTTGACAATTTTACAACTCGATTAGACATCGGGTTGCTTCGGGTTGAGTTATTTCGTGTTGGGTTGATCAGGTTGGTTGGGTTTTTGAGCACCCTATTATCCCCAGAAGGGGATTGAAGAAGAGGGTTATTATCGAGTCGAGCCTATATCTAGACATGGGAATGGCCCTTATATGTCGGGTGGGGATTTCCTATTAAACCGGGGATGGGGATGAAGACGGCAGGATGTTCTAATCTATTTGAAGGTCTTGTTACATTCAAAACTTTTGATTATATTGCATGAATGAGATCACAGAGAGTATATGTTAAGAACAAAAATGGGGTAAACCTAAAACGATTAACCGTCTGAAACTAAACTTAAACCATTAATGATTTGAACATAAAACCAAACAATTAAGAGTTTGAACCTAAATAATTTCAGCTATAGTTTTACATAGGTCGATAAAAAAGACCTAAACACATGTAAATTTGGGCCCTAAAATTTTTAGGGGCCCTGTTCAAAATCTCACATTTAACATGCTAAGGGACAACCCCAGGAGACGGGGACGGGTATAACATTTCCGTACTAGTTATATATGATAATTAATAAATTAAATATATATTATTTTTTCAACTAAGTTGGTAATTCATAATTTTTTATTTCCTAACTATATTTAGAATAAAAAAAATGTTAGTTTTTTGGATGGTAGTATGCAATATTTTGGATATCAAGTCAAAATACAATTACTCGATATGGTTCTGGATATTACTCGATATGTTTTGGTACGTGTGACGTTAAGTTTTTTTTGATTAAATTGAATTTCTTTTGCTTTTAACTTATTAGTTATTTGTGATTTTTTTATTAAATTAAATTCCTTTTGATTGTAGGTTTATTGGAAATTTCCCAAATTTAAACATATGTGATATCTCACATATTTGATTTAAAATTGCTTACAGAAATGGGGAAAATCCTTGTTTCCCTGTTCTCCGTGGGAGATGGGGATGTGATCAAATTCCCAGCGGAAATAGGGACGAGACGACGATGATGGATCGAGGACATGCACAAAGTATTATACATTTATGCACAAAGTCTTAAAAGTCTTAAAAACAACTCATAATGCATTAAATACTACTACTTTATGCATTCGGTCTTAAAATCTCTTAATCTACAATTAAAATAATATATAGTATAAGTTACCAATGCACATTATTACTTTTTCTTTTCATGTTCCAAGATACTTTTGACATGCCTTCACCCTTTCATACATCTATGTCTTCTCCTCATCCCCAAAGTGAGATTCAAACTAATATTTACCATGAGTTATTAAAAGTTCTCATTCATCTCTCATTCGATTGCTCTAGAACTCTCGATCTCGATCTCTTGATTCTTTGCTCTTGGTGTAAATCAAACACATTTGTGGAGTCGTTTAAATATGTTGGATTTTAAACTGTCATACATTTTTTTTCATCGATAGACTATAATTGGAACTATAAATCTTATTTATTCAAATTGTATTAATATGTAAAGATCAAGTGTAACTTATATCATCGTTAAATATTCTCTAATAAAACTAGTGAAACTTCAAAATGGTTAAAATTCACACCTCCCGCCGCATTGTGCGGGTACACAACTAGTGTGTGTGTGTGTGTGTGTATATATATATATATATATAGGGTTGGGTTCACGTGAGACCAAGAGTTTTTCGTGAGACCCGTAAGACCAATTTATATTCATTGATCAACTTTATAAGCTAATGATCTAATGGTCTAAAATTGTACGGTGACAATTTTGTGATTATTGAGAAGTCTCGTGACAATTTTGTGATTATTAATGTTGAGATTGTAGATCTAATCTAAAGGTTGAGAATTGGTCTTACGGGTCTCACGAAAAACMTTTGGTCTCACATGATCCCAAGTCTATATATATACTAGAAGCGTACTCGCGCAATACAGCGAGATACATCGTGTTTTTAATATTTCATTTTATTATTTATCTCAGTC